CTGAGATCCCGGCTGGCTGAAAGCAGGTTTCTGGGGTTTTGTTTAGCTTCTATATTTGTAACAATGTTTCAAAGTTGCAGCTCAGAGGCCAGCAAGGCAGGTGGGGAACGTTGGAGTCCTCCATCACTGAAGCAAGCAAGCCTCATGTTAGTTTCAAGCTGCCTTGGCTGCCGCCGCCATCTTGGCTGGCAGTTAATTTGCATATTGCCCTGATTAGCTAATAGGAAGGGTAGCGGTCGTATGCTAATTACCATGGTTCTCTTTTATTAGATAGGATGATTTTGATTATTTGTGTGGCAGGGGTGCAAATTTTATACTGCTAGGCTGTATAAAAAAATTATAATTTAATTTGTCCTCTTCCTCTGCCCTCTGCAATAGTTTCTCAAATTTTCCCTCTATATTATTGAATTATTTTTCTGTAGTGTCAACTCTGTTTTGCCCTATCTATAACAGTAAATCTATGACATATTTATTTTTATAGTTTTTTAAATTTTTTCTAGCCTGTACTTTATCACATCAATTTACATCTTAGAAAACACTTAATAATCTTTTAAACCTCACCTTCCATTTCTTCATATTTTTTTGAGAATGTGAAACAAATGCTTTCCAAGGGTTTCTTTGGTTTCTTATAGTATGTATTCTCCAAAAGTAGCATTTTCTCCATATCTTAACAATATTCTCCCCTTAACCTATAGAATGTTTTTATACATTTTATGATTTTTTGGAGCTGTGTTTTTTGTTGTTGTTGTTAATCCTCACCCGAGGATATTTTTTCTGTTGATTTTTAGAGGGAATGGAACGGGGAGAGAGAGACACGTCTATGTGAGAGAGACACATGGATTGGCTGCCTCCCCCATGCACCTTGACTGGGACCAGGTATAGAGCCTGCAACCAGGAACCCTGGACCTTTCAAGTCTGAGTGCCTACACTCTATCCACAGAGCCAAACTGGCTAGGACGGGCTTGTTTTTAATTTAGATTTACCCAAATGGCCTGTGCTCTCAGACAGGATTTAGAACTCCTGGTGGTCACTACTAGGAAGCAGTTGTCCTTTTTGGAGAATAAACCACATGAGAGGCTGCACCACAGAGCCCTTAAACAAATGTCTGTTGTTGTTTTTTTTAAAACTTGA